CACACACACACACACTCCTCGGCTGCACTGCCGAGGTTTGCGCATCGCCAACTCAGATGCGTTGTGTTGCATAATTCTGAGGGCCAAAGCGCACGTACTAGACAGTTTGATTGAGAAACCCTACTAAAAAACGGGTTAGAATTTCGCTCAGTCAATTGCGTATCGATGATTCTCAGTCCGAACGAAACAGCTGAATTCTAGTGTTATGCCAACCTAATGACCACAGACACGTAAAATTTGAATGAAAGTGATCAAACTTTAATGATCCAAAATACTATGTGGTTCCAATTCTATCTGTGCTCTAGCTAGGCGGCAATGAGCGCCATATTTCAACACCTATCCCACCCCGTTACGCTATCGTGCGCTATCGGGTTGCAAAACAGTGCCTCTTCGAGCAGCAATTGCGTTCTCATGACTTTCTGCTTTTTTGAACCGTTCTCTGCATGTCGAAATGAAGAAACTGTTTTTGGACGTCAGCTGAAGCACTAAGGCCGGGCCAATAAAGATTCGGATACACGCATTTCATCGCTTCGACGATTCGATACCACTGACTCGGTGAATTGTTGATGAGGAATCGGGCAACGCCACTGAGTCCGAGTCACGTTTTTGTCCGTGAAAGCTCACATGCATATGGATAGTATACTCGGCTTGTAAAACGTCGTGAATAATGCGAATGATTGTTCATGTGTGTGTATGTCTGAGTACATTGCTTAACCCGCTTTGTGCGCTTCGCACGTGAGCAGTTTCGCGCGATCTCCAATGCGCAGAGGGACGGATATTTCAATTTTAACCCATGCAGTGGTCACGTGGTGAACTAATTATCTCAAGCGATCGTGGAACCGATGCTCATCCAAGAATGTCAAACAAAAGCAGCTAATATCATCCTGCAATTAATTATATCCGGGGCACATTTGTTCTTGTTTAAGCGAAACATGGAATATGGTTAAATCACGATGGAACTGGAACCCAACACACCGAGTTGTTATTTTCAACACTGTCGCTGTAATGTAAGTAAATTGTACGACAGCATTTGCTTATTATTCACAGTGTGTGTATTGTCTGATCGTATGAAAGACAAAAATAATAACTTTCGGTACTACGGGTAAATCGGATAGATTTGTGATTTCGTGGAGCTTGATCTACGATGAACTCGAAGATCCCAGACGGTGTTTGTAACCGGCAACCCCGTGTAACTCGATGAAAGTTTGAAAACTGTGACTTGTTTGGACTGTTCAACGCCTATCCCTGAGCGAGAAAGAAACAGAATACAAAAATCGCAAAATTAATGTGTTAATGCGTGAGACACCGTTACATAATTCCGGATCATGACGGAGCAAGAGTGCTAAAGTTCAACGGATCTCAGTCGTTACACAATAAACATGTAATTGACGAACCCCGCACATGTGAAATCATTCATCTGCACGAACCGATTTCATACCGTATGTGTAAATACTTTGCGCAAAGTCGTTTTCATATGGCATCTGTGGATTCAAACGGGCCATGATCCTTTACGTACCTTGAACCCTTGAACCACACACACGTGTGTGTGTGTGTTTTCATCTACTAGGCAGCACGGTTAGCGCGGTTAGAGAATTCGCTTTTTGCAGTCTGCGTATGCGACAAAACTCTTTCGTGATTGTTGTGTCAATCGGACTCAGATAGCAACACTTCCATGCAAATTTCACCTTTGTGTGTGTGCGCGCGCTTGGCAAAGTGGGCAATTTGTTCCCCTTCCCGGCTGGAAAGATGAAACGATAGCTTCGATTTTGGCAGATGAGCTTTGGATTCAAACGATCGACTTGGATTGGACAGCGATTGTCCCCCTGGTCCCGATCGCACCGATGCAGAAGTGAACACATTAAGCAAGATCCCAAACCCATTAGAATTCGGCGCTATTGGAAGTTCTACATTGAAAACACGAATCACATAAAATTGTGATAAGCATAGAAGGTGCGTTGCCACTGCAGCAATATGAACCACCGTGAGGTTTAGCTTGAGTACAGGATGGACACGTATTATCTGCTTGTTCGAACATGATCCCGATTCGCGTCATCGGCGGACGAGGAATGAGCACGAAGTGAGGAAGGGCAACTCTAAGACGAGACTTGGTAGGGATACGAAATGTTGACTTGACCGCCACCCATTCGTTTTGAATCGAATGCGTATCTGACAGGGACTGATTAAACTTGGCAAACTTTACATCACCATTCTCGTCCCTATAGCTGTACAAGGGTTATCGGTCTCACGTACGGCTTCACAGATCCACCGGGTTGTCGTGCGTCTATGAACGCGATACGGTACACCACTGAGTTGTTTCTAATCCTCACACATCGACAGCGCGAGGAGAGATGGGTGGCTAATTCTCGACTATAGAAAGATGAACAATCTGTTGGCCAGTGGTTACACTAAACGAATGCGGAGCCGAGGACAACGTTTTGTCTTCAAATTGAACAGATAGTTATTCACATTCAATGGGGTGATCTCCTACATTAATCGTCAAATGGCATAGACTTAGTCACGGTAATGCTTGGACAGACATGACATACAGAACAGGGGAAAAAATCTAATTCCGCATGAACCGTTTATCAAGCCAACAAACCCAAGGACGCATGGGAACAACCATGAGATATGGGCCATCAACGGCTAAACAGGTTGGTAAAATAATCACGTAAACGATCGAGACAATGTACATTTTTGTAGGTATCCTCAACTCTATTGTTTTGCTTATCCGAATAATGGGTTAATCTGACGCAAAAATGAATGGACATCGTTGAGTTGTTTGATGCAAGAATAAAACATTTTAAATAAAATTCAAATTACAATAGAGCTCCCACTGGTTTCACCTAAAGCTGATGAGTAATCTTTAACACATCGTTTGCCTCCCTGCGATTCAATGTGGATTTTGTCAAGTTTGATAGATTGTTTGGATGACACTAAACGGAAATCAATATTATGAAGTATGCTGTTTGTATTCACACAATAAGGAAATAATGTCAGTTTATTCAACCGGTCAATTATTGTTTGTTGAATCAGCTTTCGAAATAGTGCATCTATCGCGTGTCGAATGCACAGACCAGTGTACTCACTATGTGACAGGCATGATGCTTAGCAAATTGTATGCCCCATAATTAAAGAGACAGATGTGGGACGAGAATGCACAAGCACACATCTAGGAAAAATAAACGTGTTGCGTACACGTTTAAGAGTAGAACACAATTTTAGTGAGGAAGAATGAGTGCTAAGCGGTTCCTCAGTTATCCACAAAAGACTATTTTTCATTTTTGCAGGCCCCCCGCCCTATGAGTGGCTTGGCGCTTGTGAGAGAAAAGAAAACGAAACCACCAGGAGGTGACATAGCCGGAAGGGTGAAATCGGGGCTAATAACAGAGACGTAAAAGTGACGAGCTAGCTAGGTGTTGAGGAATGGATACTGTGGACTGATGTACAATCAGACGAATGGTTTTTTTTACTGAACCCAGGAAGATTAGTGGTTGTTGATGCCTGAAGAAGGTAATAATTCTCACAACAGGGGCTCAGTGGGGCCCTGTACAGATCGGGGAGCTTGGAAAAGACCGGAAACCGCAGAGCACGAAAAAGTTATGGGATTTTCTTGGATTCACATGACGCCAGTTCAAGAATACGTGAAGAAAGACGAAAATTTGGCATACGGTAGAACGTTAGAAACTGCAGAAAGTGATGAATCGATGTCAACATACAGATTGATAGCTTACGAATTAGGCTGATGAGATACACACAGGGTGTTTATGTTGCATTCAAACCAACACGATTTGTAGTATCTCTCTTGTGGATGATCGATACGGAGTACAAGACGATGCAAATATCACGGAAAATTTTATGAGAAAGCTAACAACGTGGGATGGCATCCTTGTCAAAATCATGGACAAGATAAAGTGCCTTTGGCATGAACGTTGTTGAGGAAGTAGAGAGAAAAGGGTGGACAGAGGCCCCGAGTTCATTTGGATTTGCTCTTGCGATGACCTAACCATCTTCAGGACCCGAGGTTTATTCTTTACAAAGGAAACTTTACAAATACGAGGTGAGTTCAAATTGGGGAAGGTTTCTCCGGACTCCGTCATGGTAACCTGATTCACCAAATTAAATGTATCGGGGTGGAACAACACTGAAGAGAGCAGCAACTGTTACTTACACAACCAACTGATGAAGCCTAAAAAGGGGGACCTGTCAAACCTCAATCAATCCAGAGATACTAACTAGCCTAGTATTTGGCATCAGTTTATCTGTTCTATTGTTTATTCGCACGCAACTTTCTACATTTAATAAATACTTCCTACTGATTTGAGATTCAAATGCCTCATAAAAGAAACTCACGAAATATAACTGTCTGAATGAATTTCTGGTGTCGGTTTCTGTCCCCGTATCATTATTTGGAAGAATGCCTATTTCGTAAACAGTGGCGGTCGTGCATCTTCTCAATTGCTCTGCAACACTGAAATTCTTAATTTTTTCCTTGGTTCTAATTTCAAGCTTTCCTGTCTTTCTCCTAATGTTCATCCCAATGGGACACGCCAAAGGATAGCAATCAAAACTGACGCACGATAGTGCATGATTAATGGTTGTACGAACTGAACAGAACTTATCTTTCATTTGTCATCGATACCATGGAATTTACGAGGGTCGTCTGACTGCTATTGACTCCGCTCATTTTTCTACTTAATTCCAAGAAGATTATCAGCTATCACACATTTGATGGTAATATACTTCATAATGTGCATACTTTGTGATTGATAGCACGGGTCCATCATCGAGAGAAAACAATTGTCTACATTAAACCACATTTTGCGATTGCTGATCAACCTACCAGTTTCTTCTGATTTCGTTTCATCCGATTCACACGTTTCNNNCCCCCCCCCCCCCCACACACACTCATCCGCACTGCACAAACTCTAAATGGGATGCAGGATAACGATGGCCTTGGTCTGAATCTGGCCGTTACTCATCTGGGCGTGTTGGTATTCCAAAACCTGATCCGGATCAACACTTTGTCATGGGCAAAAATACGAAAGCTCAGTTTTAAAAGACGACGGTTTTTGATCAAACTACACGCGGAACGTTATGTAAGTTTGGACAACTTTGGTGAAATTTACTTACTGTTTAATAAATTGTACAACTAACTGTTTAATGGGTGTTTTTTCTTTTTAGGAATTACTGGATCAAATTTGTTGTCGTAAAAATAAACATTACTTGTCACTTTGTCATTTCGCTGTTTTTGTTAGCTTATGCTAAACAACCATGTTTCTAGACATGTTTTTTTATTAGTGCGCTTGATCTGGTTTTATTGATTATCCCCATTCAAAACTTAACATATTAACACCAAGTCTAAAACGGCTGGAGTCTGGATGTACTCCAGCGTACTTAGTCACACGGTTTGTTGGTAGATTGTGACGGTAGTACGACGATTCATTTGAAAAATAAATTTACTTCCGCGGTGTTTTTTATTATTTAATAAGAACAACTATCAATGGCAAACGTGTGTTTGCATTGAATGATATACTACGGCCCACCCCAGATTTGCAGCCCTCAGCCAATACAGTGCTGTCCCGTCCACGTTCCGTTTGTGTCACATGGGGTGCATGAGACTTAGAGAAAATCCCTAACAGCGGACCGCCAATCAACGCACCAGCGAACAGTACACTGAACCGAAATCCGAAGGCCTTGCATGACAGGTAACAAGAAGCTCCCACACTGGTGCTTTGGTCACGCTCCCGTGTTGGATCTACGCCATGTGTGTCTGCTTTTTGAATCGAAATCTCCGGTTAGGAATCCC